AAGGAAGGAAGGAAGGAAGGAAGGAAGGAAGGAAGGAAGGAAGGAAGGAAGGAAGGCAAAAGAACCAGTATAATTACTTGTCCCTTCTCACGTAATAGTGCAAAAAAACTAGAAATCAGTAGCAAGAGAAACTGCACAAAGATGTGAAGGTTGAACAATACAGTACTGAATAAACAGGGGCCTTTGGAAAACCAACAGGGAAGTGTAGACATTCCTGGCATCGGATGATAGTGGCTGCGATAATTTCCACAGCTGCGTGAAAACTTTTTAATGATTTCCTAGATTGTAAAGTTTCCTTTCTGATGTAGTTCAACTGGGGAAAATGCACACACGTCTTCAGACAGAGACTGCATTCTTATTTAGTTGGTTTAGTCAATTACCATGGGATTCACATTGTATTGGGAGAGTAAAATTTTCCTTGGAGTGCATCAGAATGATGCACAGTCAACAAGGCCACTGGCGCCATCAGTGACAAGCTGGTCTGTGTCCACTGGGAAGAAGAGTCAACTTATTTTGCCTCTTATTTAGTCATGGCTCCTGCTAGGCAGCCTTTCCAAGATGCTTCTTGCCTATAATGCTTCAGGCCTGTGGGATTCACACTGCCATGAATGAGACTTCGCAGCCCTCAGCACTCAGACTGGGAGGGAGGTATGGCAACCTTTCCACTGCTGCTCTCTTGTCCCTCGTCTACCATCCCTACACTTTGGGTGTTTTGGTTTGGTTATAGATTTATATTTCCCACAGTTCTCTGCCAGCTTAGTCTATCTCCTTTATTATTTGTCTGTACAATACTTCTCTTGACCTTCATAAATACTTTTACGATTTTTTTGTTTTTAATTTTTATTCATGTATATTATTGTGTGGTGATTTTCCTGCATGTATGTCTGTGCCCCACATGGGTGCAATGCCACAGGAAAACAGTCAGAGATGTCAGATACCCTAGAACTAGTGTTACAGACAATTAAGGACATCTGTGTGGTGTTAGTAATCAAAGCCAGACTCTCCGGTAGACTCTTAACCACTGAGACTTCTCAAATCCCCATTTTTCTTCTTCACTAAGACTTTTTCATCTGATCTAGTCAATGATTTAATCTCATGAGAATATTGTCCATCTATGACATTTTAGAAATCTAAAATCTTTGGAGGGATGTTACGTCTTATAGGATTTTTCACATTCCTCTTAAAGCCCCATATCGGCCTAGGTAGTCATAACATAAACTTTCAAGAAGCACTTGCAGTTTTCCAGACGCTGCATGCAGTATTCTGTCCTAGTCTCTGTCATTCCTCCTGGAAAACAGTGCAGTCTCACAGAGGAGTGTTGAAGTATTCCCTTCAAGGTGGTGGCTTTGACTTTATTTTTCCTGTATATTTCTGTTGCTTGCTATTGTTCTGCTTTTATTTATTCAGCTCCTTTATTTTAGATTTCATCTGAAATCCTTTTCAATATAATTCCATTGTTTCCTAACATCTTTTATCTATTTCACACACACAATTCTAAAAGAGACACTCTATAGTTCATTTTCATAATGAACTTTTTTCATTCTGTCATTGCCAAGATATTCATTTGTTTTTAACATGATGGGAATTGGGAGTTCTTCACTTTGTTTTGTGTGAGGTATATGCACGTATGTGACTTTGTGTACGCACAGGACAGACACTGACGTCATGTGCCTTCCTCTACCTCCTCCTAATTTTCTGAGACAGGATCTCTCATTCAGCCTGGAGCACAGCAGTTGGCTCAATCAGCTGCTCAATGGGCTCCAGGGATCCACCTGTCACCAGCCTGCCTAACCCACCACACTCAGCCTTTGTATCGGTGCTTGGTGTTTGAGCTCACTTTCCAGTGTTCGCATGACAAACACTTTGATCTCACAGTCATCTCTCCAGCCCTACTAAGTTTCTCTATGAACAGCATTATAGACATAAAATTTTGCCTAACAGCAAACTAGACCATTGATGATCCTTTCTTTGACATTGGTTATATAGTCACATTGCATTGACTTCTCAATTCATAGGTCCTGATGGCAAATCGTTGCTGCTTTTTGTTACAGTTTTGTTACACAGTTCTCCAGCTTAAATTTTTAAGACATTTTTATATAATTTATTTAAATTTTATTTTATGTCAATTGGTACTTTGCCTGTGTTCATGTCTGTATGAGATTGTCAGATCTCCTGGAAATGCACGTACAGACAGTTATGAGGGGCTGGGAATTGAACCTGGATCCTCTGAAAGAACAGCCTGTGTTCTTTACCACTGAGCCATCTCTCCAGGTTCTCTAGCTCAAATTTTTATAACCCATTTTTTCTTTTATCTGTTGGCTTGGTTAACTGCAAGAAGATGTTAAGATTTCCCATTAAGGTGGGAATGGTGACAAACACTTTGACTTCCAGCACTGGAAGGCAGAGAGAGGCAAGCAGATCTCACTGATTTCAAAAGCAGTCCTGTCTACAGAGTGAGCTCCACGACAGTCAGGGCTACACAGAGAAACCCTGTCTTGAAAGAAAAAATTGCATCATATTGCTTCTGATCATTATGCCTCATCTAATGATCTAAGCTTGATGGTGTATAGATGATATTTGTGTATTTTTATTCTCAAATTTAAGTTTTATGTTGCTGCAAAAGTTGGTTGATTGCATGTAGTAAGTGTGTCCCCTTAGCATTTCTTTTGTGAAATAAAATTTACTTTAGGTAAAAAAATTTCTTCTAGTTTGAAAATGTTCTTCTATTATTATAATTTTGCATCTTTCTTAATTAGAGTTGAATCTATATACAGAAATGCAATGCTGTAAACTAATGTTTTCCATGTTCATTATGATACTTTATCTGTGAAATGATCATCACTTGCACAAGGGAACTTTCTCTTCTCCATCGTGATGACATATTTGAATTGGTGTAAAATGGTGAATCTTTTAGCACTCAGACAGAATGTGGATTTTTTCATTTTCCCGCAATGTGCCAACATGCTGACAGTTTCATTTACAGAAAGAAACAAGAGACTACTTCCAGTTTTGCTCTCAGTAAAATTCAAATAGCCTATTCCAAATTATATGTGTCATCTATATTTTGTGGACTGTGAATGTGATTGAATTAATATTATCGCTGTTATGTTTGATTACTTACAAAAATTTTTATACAATTCGATAGCTTATTTCTCTTTTTTAATGCATCTATATCTCTGCTAGGTTAATTTTTATTGTACTTTTATTTTTGAAGATGTGATGCATGTATACAATTAAGTATGATAACATTTGTTTTAAATTCTTCACATCTTTTTACATACACATAGCAGTTGCTCTGCTGTTTAGGAGTGACTTTTCCACAGTATTCAAATTTCCTTTTCTTTTTTGTTTGTTTTTTCCTTGCTTTTTGAGACAGGGTTTCTCTGTGTACCACTGTCCTGAAACTTGCATTGTAGATCAAGCTGGCTTCAACCTCACTGACATCCACCTGTGTCTGCCTCCCAAAGGCTAGGAATAAAGGACTGTGCTACCATAATCTGACAAGTTTCATTTTTTTATTTCATAAATATTTACTGGTTTAATATTCATTTCATGATAATTTGGCTTACAAATCATAAATAAAAATGTATTACCTAATGATTTTTTTTATTCAAAAAGGTATTTATTTTAGGGGAAAACTTTCAGAACACAGCCAGGAAAGGAGTCTAATGACAGGAGCATACACAAAAAAAGACCCATAACTTTTTAAAATTCTTATAACATGCAAATTTGGCTTTCACCTAGGTCAACACATTCTTCTGCCTGACATAACAGTGCTCAGGGTATCAGGTGGATTCGATCTGCCTACTTTCCCACACTTTATTCTATCCTCTAAGATGGTCAAGAATACCTGGAATGCAGTTGTTAAGAGGTCATCTGTGGACCTAACCTTGAAAGAATTTGGACATTTCTCCAAGCAGTGGGGGCACAAGCCTCTAATTCTGGCACTGAAAAACCAGAGGTAGGTGAATCTCTTTGAGGTCAATATCAGCCTGTGATACAGCGCAAGTTCCAGAACAGCCAGTGATACATAGGAAAACCCTGTTCAAAATAAAAAAGAAGAAAAAGGAAAAAGAAAAAGGAAAAGAAAAGAAAGGAGTTGGACATTTCATCACGTATCAGCTCTGCTCCTCACCTGGCAATCATTAATTTTCCCACAATTGATGTTTCCAAATTAGATTTATGATCTGTCACTCCAGGCCTGACCAATTTGACTAACATCATGCTTATAAGTAATTCTGTCTTGGGGGTCTTTCTCATGTCTCAGTTATTTTTTGGTGTCATAGGGAACACATCACTGTTCATTTTATACATTTACACTTTCCTCTTTAAGTCTCATTTTAAGAAGTTGATAGATATGTTTTTCATGCACCTGACAATAGCTAATATGGTGACGGTCATATTCACGTTGATACCGGATATCGTCTCATCCTTTGGAGTACCCAATTTTCTGGATGATGTCGGTTGTAAGGTTGTTGGATGTATATACAGAATTTCCCGGGGTCTATCCATCAGTACCACCTGTATTCTAAGCACATTTCAAGCCGTCACCGTCACTCCCAGTAATTCTCAGTGGGCTTGGCTTAAACCCACACTCTCTAAGTGGACGTTTTCTTCCTTACTCTGCTCCTGGCTCATTAACCTGGCCATCTATGGATATATGATTGAAATGGTAATAGCCAAAACCAATTATACTCACGTTGGACATGGATTTTCACATGCTTACTGTCAAAGCAGGAATTTTGGGAACCAAAATTCAGGATCATTTTTGAGTATCATATTCATGCATGATCTCTTTTATGTGGGCATCATGATGTGGACCAGCCTGTACATGGTAATTCTCCTCTACAGACACCGCAAGAGAGCCCAGTATCTACGCAGCCAAAGCCTCTCCAGTCAGCAATCTCCTGAGCTCAGAGCCACTCACAGCATCTTGCTGCTGGTGAGCTGTTTTGTGATCTTTTATTGGTTGAACAATTTCATCACCCTTTATGGGTTTTATTCACAAACAAAAATTCCAAGATTGGAGGGACTTAATGCAATTTGGGCAACATGCTATCCAACCATCTGTCCTTTTATAATAATGAAGAATAATAAACTTATTTTGCACTTCACTTCTTCCTTTTCAGCACTGAGAATGACCTGTTTTCAACGTGCACTACGTGGCTGAACTGAAATCCACACTTTCTCATGCTTGAACACTTCTTTTTTTTTCCAAAGTTTATTAAATTATGAAAGTCTCCATTTCCGCCCCTCCTCCCAACACCCTCCCACTCCCCCCTCCCCCTTCTCCTCCCTATCCATCCCTAAGAGCAGCCAGGGTTTCCTGCCCTGTGGGAAGTTCAAGTTCCTCCCCCCTCCTTCCAGGTCCAGGAAGGTGAGTATCCAAACAGACTGGATCCCAAAAATCCAGTATATGCAGAGGAAACAAGTCCCAGTGTCATTGTCAATGGCTTTTCAGAAAGGCTCCGGACCAGCCACATTCAGAGAATCCGGCCACATTCAGAAAATCTGGTTGGATCACATGCTCATTCAGTCCCAGTCCAACTGGCCTTGGTGAACTCTCATTAGATCAGTCCCCTTGTATCAGTGGGTGATAGCATCCCTCGCGGTCATGAGTTTTTTTCATGTTCTTCCTCCTTCTGCCCCTCATTTGGACCATGGGGGGCTCAGTCCGGTGCTCCAATGTGGGTCTCCGTCTGTATCGCCATCCATCGTCAGATGAAGGATCTATGGTGGTAAGCAAAATTTTCATCAGTATGGTTATAGGCCAAGGCCGGTTCAGGCACCCTCTCCTCTGTCTAGAGAACAGTCTGGGGATCTCTCCTTGGACCTGTGATTACATTTACAATCAAGTCTCCTGTAAACCCTAAGATGACTCCCTTAGTTGAAATATATTCTTCCCTGATATCATATCCATCCTTCCTCCCTCCCCCCATCCCGGTCCACCGAGCTTTGCCCATTCCTCTCCTACTCCCTTCTCTCTAACCCTCTCCCCTTCCAACAACCTTCCCAACCCCCCATGCACCCGAGGTTACCTGAGACTCTTGCCTATTTCCAATCTCCAGGCAGATAGCTACATGATTTTTAACAGGTTCACCTTCTTATTTAGCTTCTCTAGGATCACGAATAATATGCTCAAAGACCTTTAATTATGGTTAGAATCTACATATGAGTGAATACATACCGTGTTCCTCTTTTTGGGTCTGGCTTACCTCACTCAGTAAAGCGTTTTCTATTTCCATCCATTTGCATACAAAATTCAAGATGTCATTGTTTTTTACCCCTGAGTAAAACTCTAATGTGTATATGTTCCACACCTTTTTTAACCATTCTTCTATTGAGGGACACCTAGGCTGTTTCCAGGTTCTGGCTATTACAAATAGTGCTGCTATGAACATAGTTGAACAAATGCTTTTGTAGTATGATAGGACATCTCTTGGGTATATTCCCATGAGTGGAATTGCTGGGTCCTGAGGGAGGTTGACTCCCAGTTTCCTGAGAAACCGCCACACTGATTTCCACAGTGGCTGCACAAGTTTGCATTTCCACCAACAATGGATGAGTGTTCCCCTCATTCCACATCCTCTCCAACATAGGCTATCATTGGTGTATTTGAGTTTGGCTATTCTGACAGGTGTAAGATGATATCTCAAAGTGGTTTTGATTTGCATTTCCCTGATCACTAAGGAGGTTGAGTATGACCTTAAGTGCCTTTTGGCCATTCGAAATTCATTTGTTGTGAATTCTCTGTTCAGTTCAGTACCCCATTTTTTAATTGGGTTAATTAGAGTTTTAGTGTCTAGTTTCTTGAGTTCTTTGTATATTTTGGAGATCAGACCTTTGTCTGATGAGGGGTTGGTGAAGATCTCCCAGTCGGAAGGTAGCCTTTTGGTCTTACTGACAGTGTCCTTTGCTTTACAGAAGCTTCTCAGTTTCAGTAGGTCCCATTTATTCATTGCTTCTCTTATTGTCTGCGCTCCGGGGGTTCTGCTTAGGAACTGGTCTCCTGTGCCTATATCTTATGGACTACTTCCCACTTTCTCTTCTATCAGGTTCAAAGTGGTCGGATTAATGTTGATGTCTTTAATCCATTTGGACTTGAGTTTTGTGCATGGTGATAGATATGGATCTATTTTCATTCTTCTACAGGTTGACATCCAGTTATGCCAGCACCATTTGTTGAAGATGCTTTCCTTCTTCAATTGTATACCTTTAGCTCCCTTGTCAAATATCAAGTGTTCATACATTTGTGGGTTAATACACGGGTCTTCTATTCGATTCCATAAGTCGACTTCTCTGTTCTTATGCCAATACCAAGCTGTTTTCAATACTGTTGCTCTGTAATAGAGTTTGAAGTCAGGATGGTAATGCCTCCAGAAGTTCCTTTATTGTGTAAGATTGTTTTGGCTATCCTGGGTTTTTTGTTTTTCCATATAAACTAATTATTGTTCTCTCAAGGTCTATGAAGAAGTTTGATGGAATTTTGATGGGAATTGCGTTGAATCTATAGATTGCTTTTGGTAGAATTGCCATTTTTACTATGTTGATTCTCCCAATCCAAGAGCAGGGGAGGTCTTTCCATTTTCTGGTATCCTCCTCAGTTTCTTTCTTCAAGGACTTAAAGTTCTTGTCAAATAGGTCTTTCACTTCCTTGGTTAGAGTAACCCCAAGATATTTTATGCTATTTGTGGCTATCATGAAAGGTGATGTTTCTCTGATTTCTCTCTCTGCTTCTTTATCCTTTGTGTATAGGAGGGCAACCGATTTTTTGGAGTTGATCTTGTATCCTTCCACATTACTAAAGGTGTTTATCAATTGTAGAAGTTCTTGGTAGAGTTTTTGGGGTCGCTTATGTACACTATCATATCGTCTGCAAATAACAAAAGTTTAACTTCATCCTTTCCAATTCGAATCCCCTTGATCCCCTTATGTTGTCTTATTGCTATTGCTAGAACTTCGAGCATTATACTGAAGAGGTATGGAGAGAGTGGACAGCCTTGTCGTGTTCCTGATTTTAGTGGAATGGCTTTGAGTTTCTCTCCATTCAATTTGATGTTAGCTGTCGGCTTACTATATATTGCTTTTATTATATTTAAGTATGATCCTCGTATACCCAATCTCTCCAACACCTTTATCATAAAGGGGTGTTGAATTTTGTCAAATGCTTTTTCAGCATCCAATGAAATGATCATATGGTTTTTTTCTTTCAGTTTATTTATATAATGGATTACATTGATAGATTTGCGTATGTTGAACCAGCCCTGCATCTCTGGGATGAAGCCCACTTGATCATAATGGATAATTTTTCTAATGTATTCTTGGATTTGGTTTGCCAGTATTTTATTGAGTATTTTAGCGTCAATGTTCAGGAGTGAGATTGGCCTGTAATTCTCTTTCTTGGTTGTGTCTTTGTGTGGTTTTGGTATCAGGGTAACTGTAGCTTCATTAAAAGAGATTGGCAATGATTCTTCTGTTTCTATATTGTGAAATACATTAAGGAGTATAGGTATTAGCTCTTCCTGGAAGTTCTGGTAGAATTCTGCATTGAAACCATCTGGTCCTGGGCTTTTTTTGGTGGGGAGGATTTTGATAACAGCCTATAATTCTTCACGACTAACAGGTCTATTTAGATTGTTCACTTGGTCTTGATTTAACTTTGATAAATGGTATTTATCTAAAAACCAATCCATTTCTTGTACATTTTCCAACTTTATGGCATATAAACTCTTGTAGTTAGATCTAATGATTCTCTGAATTTCCTCTGTGTCTGTTGTTATGTCCCCCTTTTCATTTCTGATCTTATTAATTTGAGTGTTCTCTCTCTGCCGTTTGATTAGTTTGGCTAGGGGTTTGTCAATCCTGTTGATTTTCTCCAAGAACCAACTTTTTGTTTCGTTGATTTTTTGAATTGTTTTCTGTGTTTCTATTTTGTTGATTTCAGCCCTCAGTTTGATTATTTTCAATCTTCTATTCCTCCTGGGAGAGTCTGCTTCTTTTTTTTTCCAGAGCTTCTAGGTGTGCTGTTAAGTCTCCAATATATACTTTCTCCGTTTTCTTTAATTGGGCACTTAGTGCTATGAACTTTCCTCTTTAACTGCTTTCATTGTGTCCCATAGGTTTGAGTATGTTGTGTCTTTATTTTCATTAAATTCAAGGAAGACTTTAATTTCTTTCTTTATTTCTTCCTTGACCCAAGGATGATTCAGTAGTTGACTGTTCAACTTCCATGTGTTTGTAGGCTTTCTGGTATTCGAATTGTTATTGAATTCTAACTTTATTCCGTGGTGATCCGACAAGACACAGGTGATTACTAATATTTTTTTGTATCTGTGTAAGTTTACTTTGTTACCGAGTATGTGGTCAATTTTAGAGAAGGTTCCATGAGCTGCAGAGAAGAAGGTATATTCTTTCCTTTTTGTGTGGAATGTTCTATAGATATCTGTTAAGTCCATTTGATTCAATACCTCCAATAATTCTCTTATTTCTCTGTTGGGTTTCTGTCTGATTGATCTGTCCATTGGTGAGAGAGGTGTGTTGAAGTCTCCTACTATTAATGTGTGTGGTTTGATGACTGCCTTGAGTTCTAAAAGTTTTTCTTTTACTTAAGTGGGTGCTTTTATATTAGGGGCATAGATATTCAGGATTGAGACTTCCTCTTGATGAATTGTTCCTGTTATGAGTAGGAAATATCCATCTCCATCTCTTCTGATTGATTTCAGTTTGAAGTCAATTTTATTAGATATTGGAATGGCCACACCAGCTTGTTTCTTAGGTCCGTTTGCTTGGAAAACCTTTTCCCACCCCTTTACTCTGAGTAGATGTCTATCTTTGTGGTTGAGGTGTGTTTCTTGTAAACAGCAGAATGATGGATCCTGTTTTCTTATCCAGTCTCTAAGTCTGTGCCTTTTTATAGGTGAGTTGAGTCCATTAATATTAAGTGATACTAATGACCAGTGGTTGTTGATTCTGTTTATTATTTGTGTGTGTGTGTGTGTGTGTGTGTGTGTGTGGGTGTGTGTGTGTAGTAGAGTTTGTGTGTTTCTCTTCTTTGAGTTGTGGTTGTGAAGGGTCGCTAGTTGTCTGGGTTATTGTAGGCAGTGATGGCAATGTTGGATTCCTTGGGTTGCGATTTTTCTTCTATTACTTTCTGTAAGGCTGGATTTGTGG